TCTAATATACATATGCAGGATTTAGCTAGGGGGTTTTATATTGTATATATAAAGGGCTAGCTAAATATACCCTAAGGTGTCGGGCTCATATATATATATAAATATATAAATATTTATTACTACTATTATTATTATTATTATTATGTGAGTCAGTGCTTGGAACTCGAGAGCAGCTTTCGAGGCTACCAACCTTTGGTGATGGAGTTGGCCACTCGCTGCCACCTTTGCCTCCCCTCCAGTGCCGAGCTTGAATATCTTGAATTAATATAGGGACCCAAAACCCCATTCTGATTATTAAGGCCCCTATATTATGCTTGATGCGCAGTCTGCCCGACTCGGGGTGTGCATCTCGGCGACTTGGAGAACGCGGGTAGGTAAGTGCACACCTCAAGTCATCTGGCCCACAGAAACACACCCGGCAGCAAATCCCAAGAGAAAAGAACTCCTGGCAGAACCCAGCTCGCAGCGTTCGCATCAGCTGATGTGATCGGACTCAGGGGCCCGGCGCCGCTGACGGGAGTTACCTTGCAAGCCTATGCCGGCAGCTACGGCGGGGCCAGACAGCCGAGCCTGGGACCTGGCTTCATGCGCTGTTCTGTGCTTCATGCTATGCTGCGGCCCAGGTGGCGGAGGAAGTCACGGAATGGTGCATGGCGACCCATGGTCTCCACCATGGATGTTTGCTACTCCTCCCACTGACATCACGGAGCCCTGGATGCCAGGAGTCACGAGCTCGGAATATGTGCATCTGTGCTAGAAACTCCTTCTTCTTTGGATTCCCTGCCTGGCTGCTTGGGTGCTCCGCCGTCATGCTGAGTTCGACAATGCCGGAGATCAGCTGCTCGAAATCGGAGCCTGGCAATCAGCGATGCCACCCGTGCTGACTCTCTTGAGTGACTTGATATGCCCGCTGTCGCTCAAGGGCAGGCGGCTCAAAGGATTCCTTTGAGTTGCAGCTGCAGCCCAGCGGCCCAGCCACCGCAAGTTCGCAAGCGCGTGCTAATTTCACGACTTAGAACTCGCCACATCTCGCCAGCTCGGAGCCCAAAGTGGATTCGTCTCTCTGGTATCGTGTGCTCGAGAAACGCCATAAATGCAGCGGAGACCGCGCACTTCAGCAAGATGCAACTTGGGAGCTTTCACCGTGTAGTTTGAATCTCCTGTGCTGCAGCCATCCCAAAAGCATGCTCAAGCTTGTGTGCCAGGCGGACAGACAAAACAAACACATGCCCAAACGACGGATAGTGATGTGTTTTCCTCCCTCTCTCTTCGTCATCTTATGTGCAGTGTGCTGCGTTGCCCTTTCAATGCAGCGGCTTTGTCCCGTGATGTATGCATTGATGCAAGCAGAGCCGGCCGCCTCCAAAGAGCAGCTGGGATGTTTTAAGTTACATAAAGGGACGGGAAGGGACAGGAACCGGGACGTGAACCGGGACGATGCGGAGTGCCTCGCAGATCCGTGATCGCCACTCGCAGGCTCGAGGCGGTCAAGGCGGTGGAAGCTGCCCCTGCCGCCACAGGGCTGCAAGGCCCTGGTGTGCGACAGGACGTGGACTTGACTTGCCATCCACTTGTGGGAATAATCTTCGGGGCCGTCAGGATCATAGCAAGCAGTTCTTCATTTGTCGAGAACTCTATGCCGAGCCCAGGGCTCAGTGGCCTGGAGCTGTATGTCTTGGCACGCCGAGTCTCTGTTGAGCTTGGTTCTGAAAGGCACAGGGCCAAGACCATGGCTCCAAGACTCGACCCTCGCAGTCATGCTTGCTGTTTGCATGTGACTGCCCTAGTACTTCTTAGACCGCAAGGAGTGGCTGCTGTCCATTATTTCTGGCGGGGACGTGCAGCAGCTGAAGCATTTCATGGAGGAAGCTGGGCCGACGAGTACATGTCGTTTGGGCTGGTTTGTGTTTCGTTCGGCTTTGTGGCTCGGACAGGAAGACGATTTTCATAATCTCTCATAAGCTCTTACGGCCGTCAGCACCCCCCCCACCCAGTAAACATGTGCAGAAACTGGCACGTGCTGCATCATGCGCTCCCATGTGCCGACGGACGACTTCGAACTGGTAGCTGTGCCGTCTTCGGAGTCAGATTACGATCGGTTTTCTATCATGTTTGCACGTGAGTGCTTTTGTGAAACTTCACCTGCAGCTTCGCACAGCTTGCAGGCTTTCTACCGGCAAGGCAAGGATGCGACGCAAGCTGGAGAAACCTGCAGTCACTGCAACGTGCGAGTGACCACTTCCAAGAACTGGTTCAGAACCAGACAGGCGGGACATGGCCGGACCTTGTCACCAGTAGAATTGACCTGGCGCCACGGAGTCTGTGTCGCAGTGGTTTCCGGAAGATTCTGGCTACAGTGCTGTGCTGCAGGCCACGGATGAGCAGCCGGCCGTCCGCTGCATGATTTGTATGAAGTGGCACTGTGAGCGGTGCCTTCTCGTAAAGACAGCGGGAGAGCCAGGTTTGCGGAACGGGTCGTACACGAATGGAAAATCTGAGGCACTGCAAGCAGTTCGTGAATCTGGGATTTGCGGCGCAGCTAGTCAAGCTCGAGTGCTGCGAGAAATGTCACAGAGGCGTGGCCACTTGGTTGCAAGCGACCAACGGCTTGGCTTTCGCATAGATGCGCCTGAAGTAGAACCGGAAGCATGGCCAAGGAGGTCTTGCGATGGCGCCAGGACAGCTTCTGCTGGTTCAATAGTGGAACTGACTTTGCTTACGCGTGGTCTTACTACACCGATACTCCAACAGGACACCGTGCCCTCGTGTCTGTCCGACGCTGAACGCCAGCTCACCAGCTTGCATGCAACGCCTCTCCTTGCAATTATTTGGGCCCCCAAGAGCAACTTTGCTCCAGACAGCTTCCTGAAACGCTTGAAACCGGGACTGCGAGTAGGTCTTCTGCTGCCGTGGCTGGGGGACAGTTACAATCGCAGGCACAATAACTAGTATCTAGAACTTGACGATGAAATTACATGTGTAACTCGTGTTCATCATCGACTCACAACAACTGGAGATAATACTTTGACAGGATTGCTTGCATGCTCGGAGGACAAGTAGAATAAACACCAAGGGAAAGAAGTAGGTCACCCTTACACTAACTGTCACCGCCGCCCTCAAGTAACCTTCATTGCAGTAAAACGGAGGTTGTTTGAGCAGCTCACGAAGCTGCCCACAGCCCTGGCCCAGCTGGAGGGGACCTCACGGCTGTTGGAGGAGTTGCAGACGCCTGGTTTGCAATGACATTCGCCTGTCACTTATTGGTGTGCTAAGCTTACTACTCCAACCTGCAACATGTCACAGGGCACAAGGAACTTGCAAGTTTGCAAGCTCAAGCTGGCTGGCAGACCTTGCTTGCCTGAGTGCTTGTCGTCATATCAGTTCATTGATACTGGCCTGTTTCTCCAAGGAACAGAGGGGACGAACCTTCCCAAGAATGCTCTCGCGAAGAATTGCAGGCACACTGTCTTGTGGTGGCTGCTGTAGTGGAGCCTGTGCGGTACATGGCCAGGAGTGCTTGGCCGCTATGAAGCGCAGCCGTTCCAAGCCCAAATTATGATGGTAATGTGCCCATTATCCCACACTATAACGCGGTAAAATACTGTGGGGGATGTTGTCCAAGGCCTTGATGCAGAAGCTGCAGAAGCGGCCATCGCCCACTCACTGGTTCTCCTGGAGGAGCCATGCAGGGAGGCGCATGTCGGAACGCAGGCTCGGAAAGCTATTCGTGCTTTAAAAAAACGGCTCCCTGTCAGTTTGCATCAGGCCAATGGTCTTTCCAACCCGAAGAATGGTCAGGTCCGTGATGGCCTACTAAGGCGAGGAGCAGGCAAAGGCCCCTCGCCCCAGATCCGAAAAAATCGCCTTCTCCAGGCATGGAAGAAGGCAGCTGGAGCAGCTGAAGCCGCGCCTCAAGGCGGCCTGTACACGGGCGAGACTTGGATGGGAGAAGGATCATGGGACTTAGTAAGAAAGGTTATAAGTCCCCTAATTGGGGTTACAAGTATAGTTACCTTAACTATAACCCTACTTACTAAGTCCCATGTTCCTTTAAGTACCGGGATGAGAGGATTGAGAGGCCCTGCTGTAAGTGTAAGGACCCTGACATCTGCGAAAGCAGAGACCCTGCTGCCAAGATGCCGCGCGCAAACCACATAGTGTTGGCAGATGTCATCCGGAATTGAGTGCAATGCTCTGCACATGAAATTTGGAACAGAGTCAAAGGACTGCTTATACTGTTCCCAAAGAGTCTTCCAAAAGAAGTCGAAACAGATGACCAACGTCATAGCTTAGTTTCACTTCCGTTCCGGTGCCGCAGGGTAGGAATCTGCGGTGCTGCAATGCGTTTCTGCTCATGCGAGGCGCCATGAGAAGCGCCCGAGGTTGTACAGACATGAGCCAGAGATGCGCAATATGCTTGCCTTCTACCGGTACAGTGGCAATGGAGAAGAGCCGGGTTCTGCGTGGAAGGGTTTCGATTCGATTGCATCATTGGGCAGTTCTCAGGGCGTGCATCAAACTAAGCATGACGTGTCGTGGCTGAGAGCGCGGGCCGGTTCGCGCGGACAAGCCATGTTTCTACTATGATGCCCTTATGTTTATTCACGTTCCGGTCTGCAGGCTACCTTATCAAATGGCCGGCGCATGTAGCGCTCATGAGCGGCTCATGAAGCAGTATGGCCTGTCGTGGCGGCTCGGCCCATGATTGTGCCAAGGCACAGCGGTCGGATAGTGCACATGTGCCGGAAACAGGCGCCTTGAGACAGTCTGGTGTGCAGGCGGATTGCCTGGTCCAAGTCTGAGACCTTGCTTTGGTTTCTGAGCTGTGTCGCGGCTTTCGCATTGTGGAGGATGCAAGCGACGGGCTCTTTCCTTCGAAGCTGCCTTTCGGCTCACAGTGTACAGGAAGGACTCACAGCCTTCACTCCATGCGCTGGACTGGCTGACGGCAAGCTTGAAGCTATGGCCACAGACAGAAGATATGAGGCTCTTCTCTGGCACCGTCCTGCACCGGCCTTCGTTAGTGCTTCGCATAAGAGGTGAAGATGTCGGTACCAGATGGCGAGCCTTTGCTTGATAT